GATGTAACATAGTTTACAAGCAAAGGCAATGTTTCGGAGTCTCGCAGGATCCCTTAATAAGGCCTGTGAACGCGCATACGATCACAGTAGTTACAGCAAGGCAATGTTTCGGAAAAGTCTGCAGGATCCCTTCATTGGGCATGTGATGATACGATCGCATAGTTACAGCTAAGGCAATGCTTCGGAGTCTCGAAGGAATCCCTTCATTCAGGCATGTGATGAACGATCACATAAGTTACAGCAAGGCAACGTTTCGGAGTCTCGCAGGTACACCTTCATCAGACCTGTGATGAATGATCACATAGTTTACAGCAAGGCAATGTTTCGGATAGTCTCGCAAGGATCCCTTCATCAGGCCCTGTGACGAACGACGATCACATAGTTACAGCAAGGCAATGTTTCGGAGTCTCGCAGGACCCTTCTCGGGCATGTGACGATTACGATCACATAGTTACAGCAAGACAATCGTTCGGAGTCTCGCAGGACCCCTTCATCGGGCATGTGACGATTACGATCACATAGTTACAGCAAGGGCAACGTTTTGGAGTCTCCCAGGACCCCTTCATCAGGCATGTGACGATCACATAGTTACAGCAAGGCAATGTTTTTTCAGAGTCTTGCAGGACCCCTTCATCAGGCATTTGATAAAACAATTACATAGTTACAGCAAGGCAATGCTTCAGAGTCTCACAGGACCCCTTCATCGGGCCTGTGTCGAACGATCACATAGTTATCAGCCAAGGCCACATTTCGGAGTCTTGCAGGACCCCATTCATCAGGCATATGATGAATGATCACATGGTTACAGCAAAAGGCAAACACTTTTGGAGTCTCGCGGGACCCCTTCATCAGTGCCTGTGACAAACGATCACATAGTTACAGCAAGGCCACATTTCGGAGTCTTGCAGGACCCATCCTTCATCAGGCATTTTGTGATGAATGATCACATAGTTACAGCAAGGCAACGTTTTCAGAGCCTCGCAGGACCCCTTCATCAGGAATGTGACGAACGATCACATAGCTACAGTAAGGCAACGTTTTGGAGTCTCGCAGGACCCCTTCATCAGGCATGTGACGAACGATCACATAGCAACAGCAAGGCAACGTTTTGGAGTCCTCGCAGGACCCCTCGCATCAGGCATGTGACGAACGATCACATAGTTAACAGCAAGGCAACATTTCGGAGTCTCACAGGGACCCCTTCAGTCAGGCATGCGACAAACGATCTCACATTGTTACAGCAAGGCAATGTTTCGGAAGTCTCGCAGACCCTTTCGTCAGGGTCAGTAACAAACGATCACATAGCTACAGCAAGGGGCAAAGACGTTTCGGAGTCTCGCAAGGACCCCTTCATCAGGCCTGTGACGAATCCATACGATCACATAGTTTACAGCAAGGCAATGTTTCGGAGTCTCGCAGGAACCCATCATCAGGCATGTGATGAGTGATCACAAAGCTACAGCAAGGCAACTTGCCTACATAAGGACAAACGGCAGCAGTTACTAGTCTGTATGATGAAATATTCCTTACTAGAGACAATGTACAGGAGCCGTTTCACTGATTTGTCCTGTCTCAACCTATATGAAGTTTTTTCTGTATCGAACTGTTACAGGTTGCTATTTTTGTTAGTATGCCTAAATCTAGTGGTGGTTTAGGGCCATTACAGTTTGTTTACTTAGTTATTTAACCACTTGCCCAACTCCACAGGTTTCCCCCCTTCCTGACCAGGTCATTGTTTTGCGATACGGCGCTGCGTTACTTTAACTGACAGTTGCGCGGTCATGCAACGCTGTTCATAAATTATAATATTGTATGTTTTTTTTTACCACAAATTGAGCTTTATTTCGGTGGTATTTGATCACCTGTGTGGTTTTTATTTTTTGTGCTATAAACAAATAAAAGACCGACAATTTTGAGAAAAAAAACAATATTTTTTACTTTTAGCTATAAAACATCCAGTAAAAAAACATTTAAAAAAAAATCAAATTTCGTCATAAATTTCGGCCAAAATGTATTCTGCTCCATGTCTTTGCTAAAAAAAAATCCCCAAAATTGTAAATGAATTGGTTTATGTGAAAGTTATAGCATCTATAAATGGCAGTATATATACTGGAATGTTTTTGTTTTTTTTTGTAATACTAGTAATGGCGGTGATCAGCGACTTATAGCGCGGACTGCGGCAGGCATTCTGACACTGGAGGGAACTGACTTTCACTGACATCCCCAGTGACACCAACACAGTGATCAATGCTAATAAAAAGCACTGACGCTATACTAATGGCACTGGGCAGGAAGGGGTTAACAAGGGGGCGCAATCAAAGGGTTTACTGTGTGTGCTGTTTTTACTATTATTACTATTATTATTATACAGTATTTATAAAGTGCCAACAGTTCGCTCAGCGCTGTACATTACAATGGGAGACAGAATATGCGACAGTACAGTAATGATACAATGCGATACACGAGGGGTTACAGGGCCCTGCTCCTTGGAGCTTACAATCTAGGAGGGAGGGGATGGTGGCACAGGAGGAAATAGCTGTGGGGGATGGAGTGGTAGGAAGAGTGGAGGAGATCTGCAATTAGGTGAGGGTGGGGTAGGCTTCCCTGAAGAGATGGGTTTTCAGGGTACACCTAAAGGAGAGGAGAGTAGGTGATAGTCTGATGGATTGGGGTAGGGAGTTCCAGAGGATGGGTGACACCCTGGAGAAGTCCTGGAGGGTGTGAATTATGGGGAGATTTACTCAGAATCGGGTTCAGCTATACATCGTAGCCTACGAGTTTAGCGTGTTCAATTAAGCTTTGGCAATAAAACCTGGAAGCGGATTGGTTTCTATGCAGAGTTGCACCAGATTTTGCACTCTCCAGTTTTAGTAAATAAACCCCAATGTGTCAAGAGAGAGAACAACTACCATATTCAGAAGGTTCTCTTTGCCTATTCATGTTCTCCTTATAGTCCACTTCTTGTGGTACGAACACTAACCCTTCCTTGCCATCCGTCCACCTGCCATACCCCTTGGAAATACCCAAGATTGTTTGGGCAGGGTGGATCATGTGACCTTCTCCCTTTCCTCCTACTATGCAGTGCAAAAAGAGTACACACCAATTGCCAGGCCCAAGTGGAGTCCCACAGCGGTGGCGAGGTTCATGATCAGGAACAGAAGTCGCTGCCTGAAACACTGCTACAATTATCGCTAGTGAATAGGAGGAAATGGAGCAACTAGAGAGAAGGAGGTCTTGTGAGGAGCGGAGTGTGCGTTCTGGACGGTACTTGGATATTAGGTCAGTGATGTAGTTCGGGGCAGTATGGTGGACGGCTTTGTACGTCAGTGTTAGGATTTTGAATTTGATCCGTTGGGCAATCGGAAGCCAGAGGGGGATTGGCAGAGGGGGGTGGCCGAGGTGGAGTGGTTGGAAAGGTGAATGAGTCTGGCTGCCGTATTCTATATACTAGCGGAGCATACTGCTGTGTAATTCTCTGCGTTACTTCTGGCAGGAGAGAGACCTGTGTTGTTTACACACAAGGCTCTCCCCTGTCAGTGTTACTTGGCGATCGCCGGGTAGCGGTGAGGTATCTCCGGCCAGAACCCAGTGATTGACAGATATATATATATATATATATATATACAGTATGTGATTGTACACAGTCCTGCCGCCCTGTAGCAGTATTTCTGCTATAGGGTGGTGGACAAGTGGTTAATACCTCCCTCTGTCTTCCCCTCCTGTTTAGTGCCAGTTCGTTTGGTCCTAGCTAAACCCAAACCCTCCCTATTTCTATCATGTTTCCTCATGCTATGCCCAAGCTCATTCACAATTATATCAGCTGGCTCCAACCTGTGACATCACAGTAGGGTTGGAATTTGTTCAGCACGGGCCCGTGAAAGTCTGCCTATTGTTCTTGCTGACTGCATGCTTCTTGCAATATCATGACTTTTGAATAGCCACTCTCTGCTGCTCTTCTTCCTGGACTCCCTCTTCCACCAGTTCAATGGGGGACCCCCTTAGATCCTCTTGGATTTGTGTATCTACCTGTATGTGTTGCCCATTACCCTGAAGTCATTGTTAGCATACAAGCCCTGATGAAGGGGTGAGCCCCTCTGAAATGTGTTGGCTTTCTACCTTTACATGGTGTCCTATGAAACACCCTCACTGGACTTACTCAGTTTTTGGGCCATCCTCATTCTTACAATATTCTGCAGACTTGTTTGGGACTCCCTGGGATACCCCTGTTAAGGGAAAGCTGTCTCCAGACAGTAAAAACATTAGACTACCTGTCCTTGTCCATTCAAGAGCCTCTACACCATACATTTCATTCTGAACATCTCCCTGAATGGGCAAGGTGACAGGATTTCTTTATCCACTTCAATACCGGGCACTTATATCCCCTTCCTTGCCCAGGCCAATTTTCAGCTTTCAGCGCTGTCACACTTTGAATGACAGCGGTCATGCAACACTGTACCCATATGAAATTTTTATATTTTTTTTTCACACAAATAATGCTTTCCTTTGGTGGTATTTAACCACTTGGTAACCATGCTATAGCCAAATGACAGCTACAGTGCGGTTATCCAGTTCTGGGAGGGCGTCCTCCCAGAACGCGCCCTCCTGCACAGCCCCCAGCGGCGTGCGCCTTGCGGTCTCCATGATCGCTGTGTCCTATGGACACAGCTGATCACGTGATGAGGTAAAGGCCAATCACAGAGGCCTTTTTACCACATGATCAGCTGTGTCCAATGACACAGCAGATCACGGAGTAAATACAATTGCCGGTTATCAGCAGCACTTTCCTTGCATGAGGAAAGTCTGCTGTTAAACGGCAGTTGTCACAGAGAAGATCGGCACTGATGATCAGTGCCCCGATGAGTGGGCAGTGCCCTGAAGTGCCACCCACCAGTGCCCAACAGCACCTCCCCCAATGCCTGTGCCCATCAGTGCCAAATTAACCCCTTCCTACCAGTGGCACTTATACCCCCTTCAATGATGCCCAGCAGGCCATCAGTGCCCCCATTAAGTGCCACCCATCAGTGCTGCCAGTCAGTTGTGTCATCAGTACTGCAGCCAGTCAGTGCCATCAGTCAGTGCTGGATAAAGTGACAAGTGCCACCATCAGTGACCATCATTGCTGCATATCAGTGCAGCATCATCAGTGCCTCCTCATCAATGCCCACCAGTGCTGCCTCATCAGTGCCACCACATCAGTGCAGCCTATCAGTGCTGCCTATCTATGCCACCACATCAGTGCCCATCAGTGCCCAGCCCCCATTAACGCACATCAGTGAAGGAGACAAATTACCTGTTTGCAAAATTTTATAATAGAAACAAAGAAAAACTTTTTTTCACATTTTTTGCTCGTTTTTTTGTTTATAGTGCAAAGAAAAAAACATACATCCAGGTAGCTATTAAATATACCTCCAAAAGAAAGCTCTATTTGTGTGGAGAAAATGATAAAAATTTCATATGGGTTAAGTTTTGCATGACCAGCGCAATTGTCATTCAAAGTGCGAACAGCGCTGGACACCTGAACATTGGGATTTTAAAAATAATTGGCCTGGGCAGGAAGGGGGTTAAGTGCCCGGTAGGGAAGGGGTTAATCACCACTGGGGTTTTTTAAATGTTTTTGCACTAGAAACGAAAAAGAGAAAACCATTTTGAAAAAAAAAGTTTTCCCTTTGTTTGTATTTATAAAATTTTGTGCAAAACAGGTTTATTTTTCTCCGTTCACTGATGTGAATGCGTTCGCTGAGGCTGCACTGTGGCACTGATAGGAAGCACTGATGGGCACTGATGGAGGCGGCAAGGACTATGGGGCACTGATAAGGCAGAACTGATGGCACTGATGAGGCGGTAACAGATGGGCACTGATAGGCTGCACTTGATGAGGCGACACTGATGAGGCTGCATTGACTGACCGCAAGACTGGCGGCACTGATGGGGCAATGATGGGTTGCACTGATGAGGTGGGCACAGGTGGGCATTGTTGAGGAGTCACTTGATGATGCTGCACTGATATGTGGCAAGGATGGGCACTGATAGGTGGTAATGATGGGGCATGAATGGGTACTGAGATTTTTTTGGTAGCACTGGCGGCACTGACTGGGCAGGGGGAATGACTGGCAGCACTGACTGATGGCACTGACTGGCGGCACTGACAGGCACAGATTGGCAACGTAGTACTGTTGGGACACTGATGGGGGCAAGGCACTGTTGTTGGCACTGATGGAGCTTCACTGATAATCTTGTCTCCTTTTGACAGATTTGCCGTACTTTCTCTCACCACAGTGACAGCGGCAAGTGTATTTACTCATGGTGGTCCATGCTGTGATTTGGACAAGCTGATTCACATGTGGTACAAGCCGCTGATGATTGTCCCTTTTACCCTGAAATCATTGCGATCAGCTGGATCCAAAGGACGCTCAAAGCGACCACAGACAGAGCCGGGTTGTGCACCGCTGGAGGCATGCGGGGGGGGGCGTATGAGGTCATAATGTGCTCGGGTGGTCCGTCCTGGGAAAGGGGGGGTCTTTAATGCACCGCACTGGCGTTTTTTTTTTTTTTTTAAATTGTTTTTTTTGCACTACGGCACGTAAAAGTGAGTTAACACAGACATTTAGAAAAAAAACAAATTGTTATGGTTCACCCATTGTTTACAGGCAAATGTATCGATGGGAAAAAATGGGTTATAGTTCTCGTCACTTGATGGTTCACCACAATGGTATGCGATTGCACTGCCGCATTGGTTCCAGCTGGAATGTAAAGTCCTTTGGCTTGTCATCTTGATCGGGTAGTTGCCTTGCACTGCATAGGGGAAGGACAGCTAGAGCACTGTCTGGCAGCACTGACTGTTGGAGATGCGTTTGGGCACTTACTATGGCACTTGGATATGGGCGCAGGAAACTGTGAGACTACTGATCGACGACGGATACTGACCATTGTGGGTTACTCGGGCAGTGCACTGATAGGCTTCACGATGAGTCGGCAGTGATGGACTGCATGACTGATGATGGCACTGACTGGTACCTTTTGTCACTTCTAGGCACTGATGCGAGTTTTGGCAAGAACTTATGGCGCCACTGATGGTGGCTGCCTACTGATCGAGGGTGGCACCATGAGTTGGGCCATTCCTGCCTGAGAATCCCGTCCAGAGAGAAGTCAGCAACTTGATGATGTGCAAAACTGCCTTACTAAGATATGCGAGGTCCTGGCACATGGGCAAATGGTATTTTCGGTGGTAATGGATGGGCAGCTGATAGGTGGTAATTGGATCTGGGGATCCCGGGCTATGCGGGGTTCACGGCTAGGTTATGCAGTCTATTGAAATGCACGGAAACTGGGCGCACGGAAACAGGCACAGATTAGGCTGTACTGTTGAGACTTCACTGATGGGCAGCACTGTTGAAAGAACCACTGATGGAGGCTTCACTGATTATCATGTCTCCTTTGACAACGCATGCAACCTGTAGCCGTTCTTTCATTGTACTTTCCTACACATCCAATTTGAGAAGGGAAGATCAGCATGTGTATTTACTTGGTGGTCAGCTGTGATATGTAGTAGCCTTTCTACCAAATGCATGCAGATAGCTGTAAGTCACAAGGACATAACCAACCAAAAGAAGAGCGAAGTTTGCACCGCTGGAGGCATGCGGGGGCTGCCGCGCTTACACGGGAGAGGAAGTGATATGACGCCCTCCAGGAAGCTGGACGGAACATCGCTCTGTTAAGCCTTCAGTTCGCTCTGTAGCACGATCAGTAAAGTGGTTAAGCACAGCCAATAGGTCATTGGACAAACCCTTGCTGCACCCCCAGGAACCACTGCAAATGGCTCATGTACACTGATGAGAAAAAATGAATATGTAGACCCCATTTCTGTTTCACGCACTGAGCCACTCACTCCCGCAGGAGCCCCCAGAATTAAAGGTCCCGAGGTTTTCTCCATATTGCCGGCAGCCAAACACACAATGAAACAGTTATAGCGGTAAAAACTTTTCTGATGCTTTATTCCAGACTTGAAACTTGGATAGGGCAGGATAAACTGTGGGACACTCCCAGGGAAGGAATGTCCATTTGGAAACGGGCAGTTGCCAGGGCCCGGGGTCGTAGGGGCCCCATGAGATGCCCCTCGGACCTTTTTCATAGGCTTTTTTGAGTTTGGGCAAGAATCACATCCTCAATCCACTTCCTGTTCAGCTGCTAGAAGAACACCAGTGAAGACCTCCTTCCTTGCTTTGATACGCATACACCTGTAAGTTCTTTCATTGAGTTTCTCAAAGTCCAATACATAGCTAGATCGCATTTAAATGTATTCAATGTGATTTGGAGGTAGCTGTCTGCAAGAAACTGTGCTTCTTGTAAACTACATTCAAAGAGAATGGAGCAGCAGCATTCTAAGCTATGAGGTGTGTGTTTCTATTGAGGCACACAGTGTAGGGAGGCACAGGTTTAGTCCCTGTATAAATGTGTGGCTCCATAGGATGCTGCAAGAGAAAGGTGCCACCCTGAAACAGGAAACCGGGGGCAGCTTAAAATGGAATTCCTACCTAGCACTAACTATTCCTAATAATTTCCTCTCCCCCCTTGCCAACCCTATGTAACAATGATCTGTATACTTACCTTTTTTTTTATTCCGGTCCAGTCATGTGATCTAGGGTTGCCGCCTCATCCCTTTAAAACCAAACATATTAATGACATGGGTTCTGAGGCTGATTTAAAGCAGATAAGGCACCAAATGAGTTTAATGACCACCTTAATCAGCCCCAGAACCTGTGTAATCAATGTGTGTTCAGTTTTATTGGGATGAGGTGGCAACCCTAATGTGATTCTGCAGCTCTGGCTTCCCTGTATCAGTGGGCAGCAGCTGCAGGGGAGAGGAGGGAGCACTTGACAGCCGCCCGGAATTCTGGAAACAGTGATTTTACTTATAGGCTCCCTATGTCACAGCCATTGTTGCCCCCCCCACCCTCCTGCAGCCAGCACTGACACAGGAGAGCAAGAGCTGCAAGATCATGTAACTGGGCCATAATGCACAAAAAGGGAAGTACCCAGATCTTCTTCTTTTTTTTTTTTTTTTTTTTTTTACACGGGTAGGCAGGATAGGTAGGAACGCGGAAGGAACATTTTTAAGCAAAGTTAGCTTTAGGTGGGAATTCCACTTTAATCATCTGCCAAACTGTAAGGGCTCATGTACACTGCAACTCCTAGACTGACATTCAGCTGTTCTGCATTTTTTTCAGCAGCCCCTGAACTCTCCCTAATGTTTTCCTATGTATCCATGTACACATCTTCGTTTACAGGCGTTTACAGGCAGTTGAGTTTACAGTCTTTTTTTGAACGCGCCAAACTTGTGTTTCAGGAGTAGATTTCCGAACGCATGTAAACGCGGTTAACTGCGTTTATAAGCGTTTGCGTTTAGAAGCGTTTTTTAACTGTTCCATATCCGGATGCTGTCCGGAGCCTTTTTTCATCACAGAAATGCATGCAAAGCGTTTTTCATGGAATCAAATGGACCCGGTACACCAGCGCAGTCAGTTGCAGGTTTCTTGTGAAGGAAAAAATGGTAGAACGTGCCGCATTATGCTCATGATGGGATCCATAGTGAATACAACCAGAAAAGACAGGTCATCTCAACACATACTGCTCTCTCTGCTTCTGCTCTCTCTATTCCTCTTAAAATGTCTGAAATAGTTAATTTTTTTACTGTTTTTCAGTGCATTCTGGGCATTTGGGAAGGTCTCCTGAGGTTATCTTTTAAAAAACGTTTCTAAACATAAACGCGGCTAAACGCGCATAAATGCGGTATGCAAACTGACTTTTTTTAACCTACGTTTTCCAGCAGTCAGTTTCCATCGTTCAGAAGAGTTTTTCAAACTCCCCGCGTACATGAGCCCTAAATGAAAATAAGGCCAGGTTCACACCTATGCAGTTTGCGTTTAATCTCTTTCTGCAGTGCATTTTGAGTTTTTGCATCTGCTATTTTGCTGCGTTTTGCGGGTTTTTAAATTTTGTTTATTTTTTGTTGCTAGGCAGATTTGAAACTCAAAACTCATCAAAAACGCATCAAAAATGCAGCAAAAACACAACACATGCTTTTCTGCAGCGTTTCCATTGAAGTCTATTGAACCAAAAATACAACTTTTTGCATTCAAAAAAGTCCCTGATCCTTTCCAAAAAACGCACCTGGTGAAAATGCGGAGATGTGAACGTGCCCCATAGAAAATCATGTCAAATGGACTGTAGTGCGTTTCTACAAAACGCTGCAGAAAACACTTAGGTGTGAACCCGGGGTAATCGTGATTTATAAAATAGGCATGATCTGTAAAGAAGCGACATTAGCCTGGATAATGTGATGTCCAGTGCACATAGGACATCCATCATTGGGAACTGCCTTCAACTCCTATGAACAGTAGTGCAGGTGGGTGTACATCCTCCCCATGACTTTATAAAAGTTGCACTTCAACTCCAACTATTTCCATGATTACTTCATATGCCCAACCACGGCACCACCTACCTGGAGTTTGCATGTTCTCCCTGTGCCTGCGTGGGTTTCCTCCTGGTACTCCGGTTTCCTCCCACACTCCAAAGACATGCTGGTAGGTTAATTGGCTCCTGTCTAAATTGTCCCTAGTATGTGTATGTATGAATGTGAGTTAGGGACCTTAGATTGTACACCCCTTGAGGGTTAGGGACTGATGTGAATGTACAATATATGTAAAGTGCTGCATAAATTGACAGCGCTATATAAGTACCTGAAATAAATAAATAAATAAATATGTTGCCTCATCATCAGCTTTATTTCTTCTCTTCCTGTCTAGGGGGTGATTTTTCCTTCAGCTGAGGTTTAAAAGTTAGATTGTCTCTGAGCAAAGGACTGTTTGACTCCAAGAAACCATCCTGTGTTGGCGGCATCAGAATTCATTGAGAAGGTACAATCCGAACGATGATTGTAATAATGCAGGTTATGATAATAATATATTAAATAACAATAATAATATAATAATTATTATTATTTGTATTCATATTTCTTTCACTAGATAGCTGAGCACAGTTGTGGTGGGTTTTGGATTTAGATTGTAAGCTCTCACTAGCAGGGCTCTCCTAACACTTTTACATTGAATTGTGTTGTAACGGTATTGTCTCTTTTTTCTGAAGTGCGGCACAAACCGTTTGCGTTATATAAATCCTGAAGAATATAATAATAATTTTTTTCTCTTTATATGTGAAAAGGTATCACTAACAGGTCAGTAGGTGGGACTGCATACGTCAAGAAAATGAATGCAGAATTCAGATGGTTTATGTAGTCCTATTGTACTATAAGAAGACATGCTATGCTCCCAGGAGTAAAAGTCTGTCAATGACAAACAGGAAAATCTCCCGCTCTTTGGGGGTGGGCTCAAAGGTAACAACTGGCTATTTTCCCATCCTGGCTCTTAGATCACTCTTGCCTTGTTGCCCTCAAAGGACTGAGGAAGTCAGGGGAAAAAATATGGCAGGGGACAAATAATGGGACACTGATGACGGGGGACAGATAAGGGGGCACTGATGATGGGAGCCAGATAGGTGGCAAAGATAGTGGGGGACAACAAATGTGGCACTGATGATGGGGGACAGATAAGGGGAGAAAGATGGTGGGGGACAGATAAGGGGAGAAAGATGGTGGTGGACATAAGGGGGCCCTGATGGCGGGGGACGGATAAGGGGCCCTGATGGCGGGGGACGGATAAGGGGGCCCTGATGGCGGGGGACGGATTAGGGATCAGTGATGATGGGGGTCATATGAGGGGACATTGATGGCGGAGGAAAGATAAGGGGGCACTAATAAAGGGGGACAGATGAGGGGGGACACTAATGGCAAGAGACAGATGAAGGGGACAGATGGGGGAGGCACTGATGGGGGGGGTCCCCTGATAAGGATTCTCTAATGGGGGGGTCTCTGATGAGGAAGTCTATGATGGGGGGGACTGATGAGGGGAACCTGACTGGGAGTCTCTGATATGGGGATCACTAATGAGGGGGGTACTGATGAGGGGGTGATGACACAGGATGTGCATAGCAGACACGCATGAAAACTGATGTCAACGTGCATTAAAACTGAGGGAAACCGATGTCTGTGCAATGTGTGCAAGTGAAAGTGAAATCTGCAGTTCTCACATCGGTTTTCATGCACGTATAGTGTGACCGAGTCCTAATGATTTTATGTGATCTTATATTCACGAAGGACAAATGAATCAAATGCTCACCATTAAAAACAGCACCATCCAGTCCACATCACATCCCATAACAGGATCAATGGACTTCCAACAGACTAATGCGTTTCGAGGACTTGCCTCTTCTTCAGAGCCTATCATGCCTCTATCTTTGGGAGTCATGCTTGTATCTGTCAGCCTTGCAATGCCTCATGGGACTTGTAGTTTGGCAACAGCTGGAGGGCCGCCAGTTTGACACCCATGCGCTAGATCACTTAGATCAGTGTAGGCATCCTTAGACAGGTGGAGATCTACCTGAACAACATGGGAAGGGTCGAAGATCAGCGAGCACAATGTCGCCCATTGTCTCCTCCTCACCACCCGATTTTAAATCTATCATTGCCTATATAAGTGCTCTAGTGGCTTTTGATTTTGTTGTCTCCTGGGTAGACAACCTCAATACGAATTAAGGTTTTTGAAAAGGTAGCAAGAGAGCCCACACAGCCGGTTGGAAATTGACCAAGTGTACAGCTTTCAATGTAGGAAGCACTTGAAGACTGCCTAAAGTACAAATACAGCTGCAAGCATCATCCTGTTTCATTTTTTTTCTGCTGATAGCCGGCTTTCTTGTAAAAGTCATCCTAGTGGCTAGTTAGCTGCTGGATTGCTTTTACAAGCTGCTGGAGGGGTGTCATCCGCCCCCCCCCTTCCCCCTCTCCTGCAGCCTGACGGTACCTCTCCAGTTTCTACATCCCACCGGAAAACTCAGGACTGAAGCCGGTGCTTCTGCTGGTTCCCAACGAGCTCCATGGTATAGGAATCTGGAAGCAATGAGAATTTTGGTCAATTCTGGTTTCCCGGATGTAAACAGCGCCATTTTTTAAAATAGAAGAGCATCTGATCACCCTGATCTTGGTGTGATCAAATGCTTTTAAGGGCAGAGGAGACATCTGGGGTCTAATAGACCTCAGATCTCTCCATAAAGAGTGCCTGCCACTGCCTATTGCTGTCACAAGGGATGTTTACAGTTACAGGCCTCTGTAACTCTCCATTGGCACCCTGTAAAGGCTTTTAACCGCCTCCTGTCTGCTATATAAGGAAATGATGGGCTCAAGGCGGGTCTCTCATTCTGGGAGGACGTCATATGATGTCCTCCCGGTCTAACTGCGCGTGCGCGCTCCCAGGGGCGTGCAGTGCGGTGATCGGTGGTGCGCTGTGTCCATATGACACAGCGGATCACTGATCAGCGGAAAAGCCGATGACATTGACTCTGTCAAGTGATCAGCGGTGTCCAATCACAGCTGATCACATGTAAATAAGGAAATGCCGGTTATCGGCATTTCTCTCCTCACTAGCTGTCATGCTGACAGCTCAAGAGGAGAGCAGAGCCGGTAATCGACATCTCTCAGAGGGGACATGTACACTGATCATCAGGGCCCATCAATGCCACCTGCCAGTGCCCACCAGTGCACATCAATGCCACATATCAGTGCCCATCTGAGCTGCCTTTCAGTGCTGCCTAGCAGTGCCCATCAGTGACGCCTAACAGTTCCAGTCAGTGCCGTCTATCTGTGCCATATATGAGTGCTGCCTTGCAGTGCCCATCAGTGATGCCTATCAGTGCCTCCTCATCAGTGCCCACCATCAGTGCAGCCTATCCGTGTCCATCACTGCAGCCTCATTATCGCACATCGGTGAAGGAGAAAAATTACTTATTTACAAAATTTTATAACAGAAACTAAGAAAAAACTTTTTTATTTTTTTACATTTTCAGTTTTTTGGTTTGTTTAGCAATAATAAAAACCCAGAGGTGATTAAATACCACCAAAAGAAAGCTTTATCTGTCTCAAACAAATTATAAAAATGTCATATGGGTACAGTGTTGCATGATCGCGCAATTGTCATTCAAAGTGTGACAGCTCTGAAAATTGAAATCAGAAAAAACCACAGCGCCCAGGACCAATCTATTGACAAACAGTTTTAAGTGAAATGCTGCTGTGCATAGGTATATAAACCAAAACAAATATTCCATATAAACCAGCGCAAAACACAATAATATAATAATAATAATTATTATTATAATTATTAATAAATAATTATAAAATAATTTTCAAAGTCCAGTGATGAAAATAAGTGACCACAATACCGTGACACAAAAATCTAAAAAAATATATACCGTATTTTTCGCTCCATAAGACGCACCTGACCATAAGACGCACCCTAGGTTTTAGAGGCAGAAAACAGGGGAAAAAAAATTCTGAACTAATGGACTGCAGACACAGTACAGGAGATGACCAGAGACTGCGGACAGCACAGGGATGACCAGAGACTGTGGACAGCACAGGGATGACCAGAGACTGCAGACAGCACAGGGATGACCAGAGACTGCGGACAGCACAGGGATGACCAGAGACTGCGGACAGCACAGGGATGACCAGAGACTGCGGACAGCACAGGGATGACCAGAGACTGCGGACAGCACAGGGATGACCAGAGACTGCGGACAGCACAGGGATGACCAGAGACTGCGACAGCGGACAGCACAGGGATGACCAGAGACTGCGGACAGCACAGGGATGACCAGAGACTGCGGACAGTACAGGAGATGACTGCTGACCTTTGGGGAGGGAGGGGGAGCGGGTACCTGAATTTGACAGGTACCCGCTCTTCCGCAGAGTTTTTTTTTTTTTTTATCTTACCTGTTCCTCGATCCAGCTGCGCGCTGTCTTCCCGGCTTCTGTAGTGTGGGCGCTCGTCGGACAGCCGGATGCCTAGTGCGCATGCGCGAGAAGCGCTGCGCTTTGTGATTGGTCCGGCGGCTTCTGGGATCTGTCATGTGTCCCAGGTACTGCCTTACCATTCACAAAGAGCACCGCTTCTTGTGCATGCGCACTTGGGACCCGGCTGTCACGCACACTACAGAAGCCAGGAAGACAGCGCGCCGCTGGATAGAGGGACAGGTAAGGTCCCACTGCAGAGCTGAGCGGCCGGCCCGGTATTCTGACACGGCGGCGGTGGAAATACCGGACCGGCCACTCTATATTCGCTCCATAAGACGCACTGACATTTTCCCCCCTTTTTTGGGGGAAAAAAAGTGCGTCTTATGGAGCGAAAAATACGGTATATATAAAAGTCCAGTGATCTGAAAAAACTTTCTTAAAAAATATAATAAACTTCAGTGCTTCAAATAATTCTTCCACCATCCACCAGTGCCAAAAACCAACATAAACCGCACTCACCAGATATTGGTGAATAAAACACCTTTCAGGATTATTTAGGGCTCCTGGACCCCCTTTGAGGACTCCTCTATTTTCGACCTCAAACCTATGGTTGATTCTTCAATCGTCTCCTCGCCACACCACCAAGTTCCAAAAGGGAGAAAAAAAACTAATAGTGTGATACTGTTATGCCCCTTTTATAATTAATTCATGCCAAACCACTCACATTTCAAAGGATAAAGGACCAGCATTTATTTAAGGACATCATATGAATTTTCGAGTAACAAATACGAATTTCCACAGCTCGTAGGAACTCACAGCCTTGATACAGCAGGATGACAGCCTCCATAACAAACGAACGTTCTTACGAACTTTCTTTGCTCGTCAAAAAAATGACCGCCTGGAACACATCCCTCGGCGTGCGTTCCACTCACCAGAAATTACGTTGAACGTTCTGGAATCCGACCGGAAATACGTCAATGCATTTCGCCCCACCCACAGGGCGTTCTCAAGACCAAGGTCTTTTTAGATTTTTGTGTCACGGTATTGTGGTCACTTATCTTCATCACTGGACTTTATTATTTATTAATTGTGTTTTGCGCTGGTTTATATTGGAATATTAGCTCTGAAAATTGGCCTGGGGGTATAAGTGTCCAATAGGCAAGTGGTTACAGTGTCATCTAAGGAGATTTTTAAATACCATATTTTTGCACCATTCACTGCGCATTTGTAGTTTTGAAGCATGACATTTTAGGGATCATTTACTCAGCGTAACACCATGTTTTATATTTTACCAAAAAATTGGGTATTATATTGTGTTTATCTGCATTAAAATTCATTAAAGTGTATTGCGAGCCAGGTCTCCTCCCCCGACATCAGTGCCTGACCAATGCCTTCTGGAAGAATGGTCAAACCTTTCCATAGACACCCTCCTAAACCTTGTGGACGGCCTTCCCAGAAGAGTTGAAGCTGTTATAGCTGCAAAGGGCGGGGCCAACTCAATATTGAACCCTACGGACTAAGACTGGGGGGCCATTAAAGTTCATGTGCGTGTAAAGGCAGACGGCCCAATACTTTTTGCAATATAGTATATGTTATATATAAAAACAATTTTTATTATAAAAAAAAATCAGACAATTAACCAAACCAAATTTGCAATAAAGGTTAGTTATCCTTTTTGCTGTCACATGTCCTGTAATACTGTATCTGATTGTTTGTGTTGGCTACTAGTGGTATATTCAATGTCCTAGTTTTGGTACATTATTTGTCATTTATACATCTTCACATTTAAATAAATTTATAAATCTTCATATAGGTGACAGGTACCTTATACAAGATGTGAGTCTTTTTAGATGATGATATAGGATTATACCCCACACTACAGGATATAACTCAGAACAGAAAATATACCCTAGCATCCTTACTGTTCTAGAGGAACTAATAGAGTAAAATAGAACAGAATAGAAGAGAATAAAAAATAAGAATAAAATAGAATAGAACATATAGGAATACTGTAGAATAGAAAATAATAGAATAGAATACAACAGATATAAAATAAAGTAATATAAAATAAGTAAAACAGAATAAAATAGAAGATAAAAGAATGGGAAAGAAAATAAAGGAACAGTATAGGAATAATAGAACTGAATAAAACAGAACAGAACAGAAAAAAACTATGAAATAGAATATAACTGCCTTCCTAAACTCAAATTGCGAATAGAATAAATTCAAATTTCAAAAGAATAGATTAGAATAGGATACAAAAGAATAGAAAATAAATGAATGGGATATAACTGTCTTTCGAAATTTTGAATAGATTAGAAAATAATAATAAATAAAATATAATAATACAGCCCTCTTCTGAAATTCAAATTTTGAAATAGAATCAATTACAATAAAATAGAAAAGAGTAGAAACAAAAAATAAAATCGCATAAAATAGAAAAAAGAATAGAATAGAATTAATAGAATATAACCGTTTTCCGAAATTCAATTTTCAAATAGAATAAGTTTGAATTCAAATAGATTAGAATAGAATAGAATAGAAAAGAACAATAGAAAAGAATAGAAAAAAAACAATAAGGTAGAATAAACTAGAATATACCTGTCTTCCGAAATTTGAATTTCAAATAGAATAAATTTGAATGCCAATTTGGATGCTGATTGGAATTTTTCAAATTTGGAAAATTCAAATCGAATTTAAATGAATATACAAAACTAAACGAATTCCGAAAGTGAAATAAAAGAATCTAACTAAACAAAATTATTTGAATAACAAAACTAATTTTTTCATTCTGCACATGTCTAGTGTATGTGACATATCCTAACTATATACATATTTATTGTATTTCTGGTAGGTACTGTAACTTACAGGATTTCCACTAGGCACGCTTCTTATCAGCCGAATGAGTCACACTGAATGTTACAAATGTGGTAACTGTTTTCTTGTAAAGTCAGAACATACCAATCACCAGGAGATTCACACAGGTGAAAGGCCAGGGTCATGCTCTGCACGTGGTAAATATCTATACAGGTCACAGCTTGATGACCACCAGAGCTGTCATACTGGAGGGAAGCCATATTTATGTCTGGAATGTGGCAAATGTTTTCAAACCAGCTCTGGTCATAAACAGTCAGTAATACAGCAGCCGATCTCTTGCTCTGATTGCAATGAAAGTTAAAAAGGCAGAAAACACCTTGAAAGATACAAAGGAGAGAAAACCCATATTCATTGAATGAATGGGAGACATCCTTTAACCCCTTGCCTACCGGGCACTTATACCCCCTTCCTGCCCAGGCCAATTTTCAGCTTTCAACCCTGTCGCAGTTTGAATGACAATTGCGCGGTCATGCAACACTGTACCCATATGAAACTTTTAGCATTTGTATCACACAAATCGAGCTTTCTTTTGGTGGTATTTATTCAGCACTGGGGGTTTTATTTTTTGCAGTATAAACAAAAAAAAGAGCAACAAATTTGAAAAAAGTTTTTCTTTGTTTCTATTAGAAACTTTTGCAAACAGGTAATTTTTCTCCTTCACTGATGTGCGTTGATGAGGCTGCATTGATGGGCACTGATAGGCAGCATTGATGGGCACTGATGAGGTGGCACGGATAGGCAGCACTGATAGGAGGCACTGCTGGGCAGCACTGATGCTGCTGCACTGCTGGGCAGCACTGATGGGTGGCACTGATGGGTGGCACTGCTGGGCAGCACTGATGTGGGGTTCTACTGGGCACAGGTGGGTGGCACTGGTAGGCACTGCTGGGCACAGGTGGGTGGCACTGCTGGGCACAGTGGGTGCACTGCTGGGTACAGGGGGGTGGTACTGTAGGACACAGGTGGGTAGTATTGATGGGCACAGGTGGGTGGCACTGGTAGGCACTGCAGGGCACAGGTGGTAGGCACTGCAGGGCACAGGTGGGTAGCATTGATGGGCACAGGTGGGTGGCACTGATGGGTACAGGTAGGTGGCACTGATGGGCACATCAGGTGGGTGGCACAGGTGGTGCTGCACTACTGGGCACTGATCATCAGTGCCGATCACTTCTCTGACAATTGCCTGTTATTGGCAGTACTTTCCTTAAGCTGTGACAGCGATCACCAGCGGCGCCGGTGGTGCGCGCTGCAGGGGGTGTGTTCTGGAATGACGTCCATGGACATTGTCCCAGAACTAGACAACTGTGCTGTAGCCGTCTTTCGGCTATAGCGCGATTGGGAAGAGGTTAAAAATGATTCAGTAATCCCTGAGCACCAAAAAAATCTAACAAGAATGAAACAATTTAAATGTTCAGAATGTAACAATTGCTTCTTACAAAAGGAAAACCTTAATGAACATGAGATGATTCATACAGGAGAGAAGCCATATCCATGTTCTGAATGTTAAAGGTTTTTGCAAGAAAGTCAAAATTGATCTGACACCAAATGATTCACACAGGAGAGAAGCCATATCTGTGTTCTGAATGTGATAAATGTTTAGATTCAGTACAGGGCTAATCCGACACCAAATGATCCCATAGGAGAGAAGCTATATCCATGTTCTGAATGTGGTAAATGTTTTCAAAGCGATGCAGAGTTGATCCAACATCAGAGAGTCCAAGCAGAAAAGAAGCTCTGTTCATATTCTGATTATGGTAAATACTTTCCACAAAAGTCACTACTTGCCATCCACCAGAGGTAACTACTAGTGAAGCCATATCAGTTTTACATAGTGACATAGTTAATCTGGTTTAAAAAAAAGACACAGTCCATCCAGTTAACCGTTTCAATACCGTGTGATTTTACCCCTTCCTGCCCAGGCCATTTTTCAGGTTTCAGCGCTCTCACACTTTGAATGACAATTGCGCGGTCCTACAACACTGTACCCAAACTAAATTTTTATCATTTTCTTCACACAACTAGAGCTTTCTTTTGGTGGTATTTAATCACCGCTGGGGTTTTTTATTTTTTTGCTAAATTAACAAAAAAAACCAAAAAGTTTGAAAAAAAAAACACATTTTTCTTTGTTTCTGTTATAAAAGTTTACAAATAATAATTGTTCTTCATAAGTTGTAGGCCGAGATGTATTCTGCTACATGTCTTTGGTGAAAATAACCCACATTAGGATGTATTATTTAGTTTGTAGGGAAAGTTATAGAGTTCACAAACTTGGTATAGATCTGAATATTGATCAATCCTGAAGTACTGACAGCCAATCTAATTTCTTGAGGGTCCAAGAATGTCAGAATAGTACAGAAGATATCCCCAAATGAGCCCTTTTTGCAGAGTAGACCGTCCGACGTACTTCATAAGGGCATGGCGAGTTTTTTGAAGTTGTATTTTTTTGTCATCATTTTTCGGAAAATGAAAAAAAACATTAAAAAAATTATTTTTTCACAATTTTTTTTTTTTACATACTGTCACCAGTGCAGTACAGCATCTTCATATAACTGGCATGGCGGTGAAACATGGACACTGACTGGTTCTCACAGTGACAGTATGAAAAAAATAATATATATTTTTTTATTTATTTTTTTATTATATTTAATTTTTTATTACATTTTTTTAAAGATTTTTAAAGATTTTCATTATTTACTATGACCAAAGTAGTACAATGTTTACCATAGTAACATTGTACTACTTTGGGGGAGTGATCAGTATTTTTTATTTTTTTTTTATTTACACAGTTTGCTTATAGCAAAGAATTACTTTGCTATAAGCAAGCATTTAGCTGAATCTGAAATCGATGCATTCAGCTTTTTTTGCTTTTTTTTTTTTTGTGCTTAGCTGTCATGTGCATGTGACCTGCTAGTGACCATTCACAGCTAGGCACTAGTATACAATGGATGGCATCATGAATGAAGCCATCCATTGTATACAACTATCATGTGACCTGCTGTGATTGGTCACAGCAGGTCACATGGTACCAGCTACGGGAAGCCGGTACTCGGATCTGTCATCGGCCGTGTCCGAGGTGCACGGCCCGTGACAGATCCGCTGCTGCGCTGCTCTGCTGTGCCGCAAACTGGCGCATGTGCGGGACGAGCACGCTAAATGGCGTGCACACGGAATACAGGAGCGCATTTGAAAGCCGCCAAATGGCCATTGTCCCGGGCGGCTAATGGTTAAACCAACGGAGAAAAAAATACACACATAGAGAAATCTCCATATACAGTATGCTATCCCATACCCACAGTTGATGCATAGAAAGTAACCCCCCCCCCTCAATAAAGCACGATCCAAATTTTTCTCCTGCAGGGGAAAAATTCCTTCCTGATCCCCATAAAGGCAATCAGATATTCCCTGGATCAACTTTCCCTATAAATGTTATATCCAGTTTATACTCTGTGTATCTAGGAAAAAATCCAGGAATTTTTTTTTACACCAATCCACTGAGCTGGCCAGAAACTGACTTACTGTGAAGAAATCTTTCCATATTTGGGTATGAAATTTTCTGTTCCTCCTAGCTCAGTACAGTTGGTGGCCCATAGTCGCTACTGTTACTGACTTGTGGGGGAATAACTGGATCGAACCGATTTCTCTATATGAAATTTTTTTTTTTAAATTTATACACTGGGAGATGCTATTACACCCCTTATGTATTATACATGCTGTTTAAAATGCCCCTTATGAATTCATACAGGGAGGTCATATCCCTTTCGCTCTTTTTAAATTTTTGGGTTATTATTAAAATTTTTTTTTTTATTCATTCTTTTTTTCCCCAAATTGGGAGATCATACATGAGTGATCATATCTGCCATGAGCTGTGATTGGGTCACAGCTTGAGATCACATCCCCCCTTCAAGGCTATATACATGGAGATTCATAGCCCCCCTTCATGTATTATAAGTATGGAGGATGTACCATTGTTGACCTCTTATGTTCATTCTACATGGAGATCTATCCACTGTTGTTTGCAATGATGTCACTGAAGATGACCATCCCCCTTGATTGCTACTATCCAATGTATGATCATATCCCCCTTATGGCCATTATACATGTGGATCATATCCCCCCATATGTATTATGGGACCATGGACCATCGAGAGGGTGCTACCTCAAGTATTTATAACATGCGGGGCACCAGATCGCAGGGTGCTCCGCGCGTCTTGTATATCAGGGAGATCTATGCGCACCTTATGCAGGGAGTGCAGAGGACGATCATATCCCCCTATACGTGGCACTGCAGCTACATGGTGCTATCGTCCGGCCTCGTATGTATCTATCTACTATGGTGATTGGTAACCCCTTAGTGAGTTACTTATAGCATTGGAGATCATATCCCCTTCTATGTTATGTGGTGCTTAGATAAAACAGTCCATAGTTCTCTCCTTAATAGTATACATGGAGATCCTCCACCCCCCCCCATGAATTTACAGGAGATCCTTCTTCTACTTATCTCTCTCTCTACATCTGGAGATCATATCTCTCCTTATATTATAATAATGGGCCAGATCATATCCCAGCTGCTTGTGGCTGCACACATGGAGATCATATATCCCCCGCTGTGAATCGTATTTCAATACATGTGCGATACTGGTCGTGCCTGGATGTTATTTTTTCATGGTGATACATCAGATTCCCCCCTTCATGTATTATACATAGGAGATCATGGCCCCCCTTCGTGCATGATTTGTACTGGAAGATCATGATCCCCCTGGTATTTTATTATATAATGGAAAAGTCATTATCCACCTTTAATCTCCTATCTTAAGAGAGAATAAATATCAGTTCCTCTAACCTTTCCTCATAAGCAGAGTGTCCCTCCATGCCTCTTTATCAGTTTGGTTGCCTTCTCTGCCTTTCTCAGTTGCCCCAATGTTCATATGTGAATTGGTGCCCAAAAAACTGAATGCATTTCCAGATGATGGTCTTACTAATGATTTTGTTACGGGGAAAATGATATCTCTCTCTGGAGTCTAGATTTCTTTAAAACAAAAAAAAAATTTTTCTCGCTTTGGAAACCGCTGCTTGGCATTGATGCCATTATTAAACTTGTGATCTACCAGAACCCCGACCTTTTCCCCCATTTTGGGCCCCCCGTTGTACCCCCCCCAATGTATGATGCATGCATATTTTTAGCCCCCAAATGCAGAAATTTTAAATTTTTCAATAACACTTGACAACCACAAATGTGTATTATACGGGTACAATAAGTTTTGAACAGTCACATTTTTCTCGTAAAAAATATTTCTAAAGTGCTATTTACATGAAAAATTTCCACATGGGGAAAATTTGTTCTTTCCCCTACTGGATATGGCCCCCCAAAAGTGTCACTGGAAATTCAAAAATTAAAAACCCTTTTGTTAACCCAATGCCACCCGTATGTTTTGATCAAAAAAATTGCAAAGGTTTTGAGGAGCTCTTTGATTTTTACCCCCTCATGAGGTTTGACACCTTGGTAATCGACCCTTTTTTTAGACCC